AGAATCCCTCCAGTGTGGAAACAGGCCATTCAGCCCATCACATCCACACCGACCCTCTGAAGAGTATCCCACTCACACTCAACCCTCTACCCTCTCCTGATAACCCTGCCTTTCCCATGGCCAATTCACCTAACCTGCACATCTTTGGACTATGGGTGGAAGCCAGAGCATCCAGAGGAAACCCACGCAGACACAGGGAGAATGTCTCCCCACAGACAGTCACCTGAGGTTGGAATTGATCCTGGGCCCTTGGCACTGTGAGGCAGCAGTACTAACCACTGAGCCACTGTGCCACCCAGTGTGGGTTCTGCTAAGGTAACTCAGCTTTTACAGCATTCACAACATGGGCAAAAGTGCTGGATTCCAGCAGTGAGGTGAGAGTTTCTACATTTGATATCAGGTCAGAATTTGAGTGAGTGTCAATGAATTTAGAAAAATTGAAGTTAGTAAAGAGGAGGATGATTGGTGAAGGCTAATAACCTCAGCCTCAAGACATCTCTTCAGCAGTTCTTCAGGGTAGTGCCCTAGGCCCAACAATGATCTTCCCTCCATCATAAAGTCAGTAGTAGGGATGTTCGCCTGATGCTTGCATGATGATCAACACCATTTGCTACTCTTCAGATACTGAAGCAGTCGTGTGCATGTGCAACAGTATCCAGACAACATCCATATTTGGGTTGATAAGTCGTAAGTAACATATATGCCACACAATTGGCAGCCTATGGACTTCTCCAACAAGAGAGGATCTAACTATTGACCATTGTCATTCAGCGCTTTGCCCTCAATAAATCACTTCCGAACAACATGCTGGGTAGTTACCATTGGCCAGAAAATGAACCGGACCAGTTGTATATATACTATGGATACAAGAGCAGGTCAGAAGCTGGAAGTTCTGCAGAATAATTCACTTCCTAACTCCTGATGCCTGACCACCATCTGAAAAGCACACATCAACAGTGCTCTGAAATCCCCTAGTTATATACATTTTTTTTTGGTACTGAGTATGCCAACATTTTCTGTCAAATATATCAGTTAGAAAACAGGAATTCCCAAAAGGAACATCCAATCCTGTCTTACAAAAAGTTGACTGTCATAGAAGATCAGTTTAAAAGATTGGACAGGGATACAAGGTCAGAGAGTTGTGCGACAGAGAAATATGTATCCTATGTGACAGAAGAGTTGAATTTTAGCTATACTTCAGGGAAGGCAAATTAATTACATTATCTCTATGTTTTTGGGAACCAAATCAAGAGCTTTGAACAGCTTGTGCAGCTAGAAATCAGGGAACTTCCAGGAGAGAGAGAGAAGCAAGTTCCATGTAGAAATGAACTTTGACCTGTTGCTGTAAATGCAATTGAACTACAGTACACTAATTCTGTGTAGGCAACTCAGTGAGATAGCCAGAGGTGAAAAGTTTAAGTTGTGCTGTGGAATCAGTACACCAGTGTCATTTTCAGAGTCTCCGGGAGTGTGGACCCACAACAGGAAAGTGAATGACTTGAACAGAAACAGTTGTTGAGGTAATCCATGACAGAGCACCTCTTAAGAGGGAATTTCAATGATTCTAAGTAAGCCCATTAAGGAGGCTGCCAAAGATGGTTGAACCTAATATATAGGAAGAGGTGCTTCTAACATTGTTTGCTTCCTGGTGGGTACGAAATGATACAGTTGGTCAAGGTTAATATTTAAAAGTACACCAATAGCAAGACCTTAGACAAATATGGCTATAAACACCTTTCGAAGCATGATGAGAAATGTAGCCATTTCTGTAGGAAGCTAGCTAAGAATGAAAGTCATGAAAAGTAATGACCTTCACAACTTAAATCAACACGTCATTAGAGTAAGAGGCATTGTTAGTCTCACAGTGATAAATTAGATGTCCCAAGCTATGAGAACATTGAAAGGAATATCCACAGAGCATGCATAACCCTGCTTGTCGATAAAGATATATAATGTAAGTGCTAAGATGGTCAATGACAAGTATGTTATTAAAACATTGCAACGAAATGTGGGAATTAAGACAAAATATATTGACTTGTGTGGGAGAGACAACTTGGTGGACTTCTGCCAAGTGTCTTCTATCATATTTTTGTGAAATAAAGTTTGTAATTGCTGAACTGAAATTTGAAGAAACCATTAGGCCACCATAACAGGGAGATCCTAAATAATGCAGAAAGGTCTGCTAATATGAAAGAAATGAGATGTATACAAACTAAGGGGAGCACAGATTAGAATTACACCCTATGGCTCACAAGCACATGAAAATATAAACATACATATTAACACAATGAGTTAGAAGGAGAAACAGGATTGTTTGGCATGTTGAGACTGCTCTGCCAATTAATAAGTGATAACTGATTTGACTGTAAGCTCAATTTAACTTTCCAACCTTTTTTCACCCCCTTTCTTATCAAGAATCTGGCCATTTCTGCCTTTAAAATACTTCCATTCTGCTTCCATTCTGCTTTTTGAGGAAATGTTTTTGACTGAATCATAACGCTCTGAGAGAAAATACTTTTCCTGATCTCATTCTAAATGGACAGCCTCTTATTTTTAAATCAGAACCCTTAGTTCAATATTCTCCCACATGAGGAAACATCTTATCCATGTCCGCCCTGTCAAATCCCCTCAGTATCTTATTTGTTTCAATGATTATAAGTTTGGTCATCTCTTCAGCTGCCAAAACGGTCAGCAATCCATGTGGATTCAGAATGTCAATATTTATCTGCTGCTTGTACAATAAAATGCACTTTAGACCATCAGTGGGTTTGCATTTTTGTGGCTCCAAGCCTCAAAGGATTTCAAATTCGCACACTAAGTCAATTTAAAACAGTGCTTTTCTGGCCTAGGATTCAGTTGATACAATTCCCTGGCTATTTCAAGGGGTTTGGGAATAATTGATGGGGAAGGGATTAGCACTGGGAAGTTTACATAGAATTCCTACACTGTGGAAACAGGCCCTTTAGCCCAACAAGTCCACACTGACCCTTGGAGGGTCCCACCCAGACCCATCCCCTTAGTACCCACCTAAACTGCACATCCCTGAACACTACGGGCAATTTAGCATGGTCAATCCACCTAACCTGCACATCTTTGGACTGTGGGAGGAAACCAATGCAGACAATGTGCAAACTCCATGCAGATAGTTGCCCAAGGGTGGAATTGAACCTGGGTCCCTGGTGCTGTGAGGCAGCAGTGCTAACCACTGAGCCACCCTGCTGCACCTTCTTTCAGACCAAAGTGACAACTATCAGCTGCAAATTTTACAGCATTACAATCACTGTATTTTCCTATCACAGCACAGTTAAGTGTACAGTGAAGGAGATCAAGATTGAGATTGAAGAGGGAGAATGCGGCACTCTTGTCAATGTTTCAGAAGGTGATGGATTCCATAGCCCACTCCAGAGTCATGTGTCCATTTTCTAGGCTGACTTTTCCTGTACATTTCTGAGGATGTTTTGCACAATTCCATTTGCAGTCTCCAAAATGAATCATCAAATTGAAAAATTGTCTGAAATGTTCTTTAAGCGGAGCAGGGGTATACCACCTTGTTTCATGGCCAATTCTATGTCTCAACCAACATTACTGAAACAAATCATCTGGCATTGCTGTTTATTGCTGAAAGATAAAGGCATATTTTGTCTACACGTTTTAACTTTCATTCATCAGGTCATTTCACAAGAATAGAAAGTCAAGCGGAAAAGCAACATTTAGACTGCACGAGAGCAGAGTGCGGGTTAGTTGGTAAGTGGTCACCAATTGTGGGGACATTGCTGTGTAGAACTCATGGAAAGCCCAAAAATTGGTCAAAATAAAAAACAAATCAAAGTACTGCAGATGCTGGAAATCTGAAAAAAGAACAGAATTTGTCGGAGACCTCAGCAGATCTGTCAGAATCTGTGGAGAAAAAGCAGAATCACCATTTTGGGTCCAGTGACCATCCTTCAGAACTGATAGTAACTAGGGAAAGGTTTTTATGCTGAAGACCGAAGGGGTAGGGAGAGAAAATAAGGGAGTGAATGATGGATGGAGATGGAGTGCAGAAAGAGAGAACAATGATTGAGCACTGGTAGTCACTCACTAAGTTGATTACTTTGGGTCCTTAAAAGTGCTGAGTCTACCTGGAAAGGCAAGGTATCTCAGAAGTTTCAGCAACAAGTGAAGCTAGCTGTTTCACACTGCTACTATGCAGTGATTGTTCACTATTATCAATATGCCTCTGTCAAGCCAAAAATATATTCAAATGAGTAATGTGGTATGTAATTTTCAGTTACAGTGGGATGCCAAGCATGTCAGCTGTATGCTGAAATAGCTGGCAGATCATTTCAAACAGCATGTCCCTTCCATTTTTTCACAAGAAGTAATATACTAGCCATACCTAACCAACCTGTGCTTCCAAATATTACAAGTGTCTAACATTAGGTGTGATTCTGCGATTGGATAACATTTACTATTTAATCCTGATTGTGTGAGCAATTACACTAACAATCAATTTAGGGTTCTTAGACAGGCTTACTGTGTGGTATTTTGCATGTTCAGGAAGCTCCACATGTCAATACAAGGGGTGCTGTTCTTTGCAGAAAGACAGAACATGCGCACACACTGCACCCATTTTCAACTCTCAGGGCAGTGCCCTATCAATCAGAGTTTACCAGCCTGTTTTAAATTTAGCAAAGCCTGGCTGTTAACTGTCAATCTGCGTGAATGAGTACAATCTTTATTGTAATGCATCCACTCATCAGATTTTACAAGCCAACCAATTCAGCACTGCTTTCCTATGCAATATAAATCTGGACTTCCCATTGAATTTGTATTCTTGCAAAATGTCCCAATGAGTGCAAGATGACAAGGTTCAACCATAGGTGTCTTTCTTTCAGCAATACTCCAGATCAGCACTACTAAATGACATTACTGTTTGTGGGACTACACTGATATACAGCCAAGTGCTCTTCCAGTAGGGTGATACAGGTGGACTACGTTAGAAGGTGGGAAAAGAATACCTGAAAGTTGGTCTTCTTCTCAAGATGATTCCAGTTCTCAATTATTCAGCCAGCAGCCCCTCGGAAAGAAGCCTACATGCTACTTCCTGATCCAATGACTGTGTTTGTTTCAGACAAGTGCAGATGGAGCCATTGGCTCGATGAGCTCCATAACCTGGAGGACATTTATTACCAACATTGTAATTTTCAAAGCAAGAGAATGAATAGCCTGCAACTAGCTCTGTTGAAATAACAGAGGTGCAACAATGTACAAATCATGGGAAGCAGAAGGGAAAGATTTCATAGTTACACAAGAGAATTCACTTGGGGTGTTTGTAACGAAACAAACATTGCTTAACTTGTGAAATAGTAAATGAGGAAAGACGTTCTTATTGCAGCATTTCAAGTCCCCAAAGATCAAAATGCTTTATCAGAATGGCAAGTGAAGTCAGGGAAGGCTGCGTATTTCTGATGGGGTGATTTGTGATTGTGGGATTGCATTGTGCTGGGGGGCATTAAGGGGCCTAAAGAGTTTCAGGTAATGAACAGTACTTCTATGATGCCAGTGGTAGTGGGGGGCTTTTCTGGCAGTTCAATGTTGTCTGCAGTTACTCCAGCCAAGTAGCTCCTCTTTCCCATGGTGAGCAGAAGTCGAGCGAATTGAATCTGTATGTATGATCATTGGCAGGACAGGCAGAGAGCGCAAATAATTATTAATTTATTAATAGACTAATGCCACATAGAGTTAAAAAAAGCAACGAGGTTATGCTCAATTATAAATACTTTCCCCCTTCCAAGATGGCTGGGGCTGGGTCAGCAGCGTTTGTGTCCTGAGTGCGGGCTCAGCCACTCATGGCTCATGTGATGGGTTCTGCCACATCCACGTGGCTTCATCGTTGTCTTTCCAGCTGGGTAATTTTTGTTTTTGTTACCGCGGGGCCCTCCTCCTGATGTCTCCTGCAGTAGGCCCGGGCCCCTGCGTATCTTCATTCTCGCTCCATCTCGGGTGGTGGCACCAGAGTATGAGCCAGGACCTGTCAGTCCATGTCCCAGGCTTGGAAGATGTGCAGGACCTGCGCAGTGTGACCATCTCTAGCTCAGAGGTGATTGACGTGGAAGCAATGGTGCCAGTGGCAGTAGAAAAGGAACATGTGGCCAAGTCCCTGGGGACAATGTTGGTTGGCGGCAACCGGAAGAGCAGAGAGGGCGAAGTCTAGCATTGAAGAGAGGGAATAATGAACTTTTGAAGCTGTTTCAGTTTTAGTAATATCAATTTAATATTAATTTATTCAGTAATTTACAATTTATAAAATTTATTCTGTAATTTAGTCCGAAATCCAAACTGGCACCAGAATGTGACGACATTATCCACTTTTCACTGTAGCTAGGTACAAGTGGCAATATATATATTCAATAAATAAATAAAAGACGCTTGTTGAAACTCAGCTGGAGTATTGTGTATAGCTCTGGGCATGACACTATGGGTAGGATGTGAGTGCATTGGAGAGAGTGCGGTATAGATGTATAAGAATAGTTCCAGGGATGGGAAACTTCGGTTAAGAAGATAGGTTGGCGAGACTGGGATTGTTATCGCTGGAGAGAAAAAGACCGAGAAAAGATCTGATAGAAGTTCGTAAAATCAATGGAGGTATGGAAAGAGCAGATCAGGTGATAGAGTTCCCTCTCATAAAAGGATAGAGAACAAAAGTGAACAGATTTAAAGTGAGTTACAATATAGGCAATGTAATGTGAGAAAAAAGATTTTCACGCAAAGAGTGAGTTTAGAATGCAGTGCCTGGAAATTTGGTGGAGGTAGGTTCAACTTGAGCATGCAAGAGGGTATTTGAAATAATTGTACAGAGGCCCATCTCCTGTCACCAAATCGCTCTTTATTTACTTGTGCACAATACACTGGCTGTGGCCAGCCAACTTGGAGTCAAAGCCCCGAACTGAGGAGATTCTAAATATTTTTTACTCCTGAATATATCAGTAAGGTCTGCTCTTAGCGTTCGGTGTAAGTATCCAATTAATTCCACCGCATTATATTCTTGCTAATTCCAGTGATGAAGGCCTAAGGCACAATTTGATCAATTTAATTTGCCTTCTCACTTGCTTCTTTTTAAAAAATTTTTCATTTTATTTTCCCCAGCACCCATGTGTGTGTCTGTGTAGGCACAAGATACAGTGAAAATAACAGATGTGCAGTTAACTTTATTAACAGTCCACCACCAGGAAAAACACCCATGTGACCAAAGAACCAGTAGCAAGAACAGCCCTCCAGGGGCAATGCTAATGTGAACAAAAAGGTAACGAGGAGGGAAGGTGTCAAATTAAAATAGAAGTGGAGGGGAATTCCACAGTGCCCACCTCTCCCAAAAGACATTAGGCGATCTCCTGGTAATATTGGTCAGCCAGGACTCCATGATTGGCCCAGATTAACAACCCCATTCAAGGATCTTGTAGTCAACAAGATCCAGCTGGTTCCAATCACTACAGCATTATACCAATATTTGAATTGAAACAACATGCAGGATATTGGCAGTAGGCAGGCCATGTCATGGTACCCAATTTCATGAACGCTTTTCTTCCAACCTGCCCATTTTGAAAAGATAGGATAAAGGTCAATCCATTATTGACACAGAGTGGAATCTTCCCAGGTCCTGCACAAAGTGGGCAAGAGTGAGAAATTCGGGAGAATCACGGGAGAAGTTGAAGGAGACTTTTCTTGACATTGGGAACAAGAAATCCCACTTTTCAACTACGTTTTGGATGTCAATTTGAGATTCTCACTAATGATCAGAGAGAGGCCAATTAATGGAGATTATTGCAGATTATCATCCTCACTTTTACTTAAAATCTCATCTTGTAAATATGCACTCCTCTATTCTACCATCGGTTGATAGAAACTAAGCACAAAGAATTCCTGACACGGAAGTCAGAGCAGGTACCAGGCCTTTCCAGCTCACCACCTGCTCGTCCGAACCACCATCCTGGACTCCTGCCATCAACATGTCAGAGCACACTCCACGTGCAGCAGCTGCATTCACTTCATATCTACGGATGCCGGGATCTGACACATGCCAGGCCCTCCAAAGCATCATGGCTCATGAATCTACTTAAAATATGCTTCTGCACTTTAATGCTACACTTTGAAGTGCACCAGCAACTGACTTTGTAATAATGCTGCAAGAATAGTTTGCATGCACAGTTTGGTACTCAGCTCGCAGGTTGGAAAATGCTGGATCTCCGAGCTGCTCGCTTGTTTTCTTTATGCTCACTCACTTAGGATCTGCCTGTATGCTCGCATTATCCCTGCCTTGCCTTTTAATGCTTTGCTAGCTCAGCCAGAGCTTGTACGTGCACAGTACTTCTGTCTAGACTTGGCTTTTAGCTCAGCCACAAAGCCAGCAAGCTTGTTCTGAATATCTGCAGACACCAAAGGGGTGTATATGTTGCTCTAGAGCACCATATTATGTCAATCTCAAACCTTCACTACTTGCCAGCGACATAAGCACCTAATACATCACAGGTGCTTTAAGCAAATGATCATGTCTCAATGTCGAAGGCTAATAGTCCTCAGTCAAGTCAAGGAAGATACCCTTTAGTCAGGGAGTCCCAGCACAGTATGACAAGGGGAGGCTTTCTAAAAGACCAAGACTTGGACACATTATTCAGGTGCTCAGAGCCAGGATCCTCTCTCCAAAGGGCTGAGCAGCTGAATATTGGGCACCTCACAGTCTTATCGTGAGCTGTATTCTCTCAGAATAAAGAGAAAACAGTGATTGAGATGAAAATGGGTGGGAAGGCTGCTTGTGCTGGTGCAGATGGTCAGAAGGTGGGTGAAGTGTCCCAAGTGAGTGAACAGGCAGTGCAGAGGCCATAAGGAGTTTGTGGTGTGAGGGAATTATGTCAGAAATCCTGAAATACCCTAGCAAGTGTTGATACAGATGGAGAAGTATGCTAGCATCAGTCAAAGGGGTACCACAGGGGCAAGGTATATAGTTACTTGGGAAGATGACTTGAGAAAACTCACTAGGCCTCATGGACAGAAGTCCTCTGTGAAATCCAATGAAAATGGCAGTGCCAAAGTATTGTACAATTCAGCCCGTAGTACCTTATTTCATCACTATTGTTATTTGCACATTAATCCAATTGTTATGCAAACATTTTTGGTATTGCAAACTCTTTCATTACCACATCTATTCTGGCAGCAGTGTTGTTTCCACCTGCAATTTCACTTAAAGGAAAATCTCAGGATCACAGAATCCCTACAGTGTGGAAGCAGGCCATTCGGTCCATCGAGTCCACACCGAAGATCATCCCACCAAGATCCACCCTGCCCTACCCTATAACCCTGCAAATTCCATGGCTAATCCACCTAGCCTGTACATCCCTGGACGCTACTGGTAATTACCATGGTTAATCCACCTAACCAACACATCTTTTGACTGTGGGAGGAAACCAGAGCACCCGGAAGCAACCCATGCAGATGTGGGAAGAATGTGCAAGCTCCACACAAACAGTCGCCTGAGGATGGCATTGAACCCAGGTCCATTGTAAGCAATCTCTCTCTCTCTCTTAAACATTATAGGTAAGCAATGTGATATTCAACAAATAAGAAGAATTCTGGAACATTTCCTGGAAGCTGATGTCATGGATATGCTCATTCTAGTAGCTTCTTAGTGTGAATCAAAGAATGAACAATAACTATAGTGCTGAGTGTGTCAGCATTTTAGTTTACAGCATTGTTCCTTCTGAGAAGGAGTTATATGGATAATCCCTAGCTATACAGAAGCCAAGTTTGCATGGGTAGTAAAGAGCTTGAGTATTTGTCTAAAAAGACATGTTTTGTCAAAACTGTTCATCATGCACTCATCATGACATTTTGCAGCAATACCAAATCAGGGGTGTGCTTAGTGAGTGAACATAAGAGGATAAGAACTAGGAGGAGAATAGGCAATTCAGCCCCCTCCAGTCGGCTCTTCCATTGAATACAATTGTGACTGATCTTATTTTGGCCTCAACTCTACTTTCCAGCCTATTCTCATTAACTCTAGAACCCTTTATTGATTCCAAATCTGTCTGTCTCCTCCATAAATATATTCAGTGTCTCTGCAACCACTGCACTCTGGGGTAGTAAATTCCACAGATTGACAACTCTTTGAGAGAAATAATTGCTCCTCATTGCTGTTTTAAATTTGTCACACCTTAGC